ATGGCTGTGGTATAAAATAATATTCTGAGCCCTCTGAGCAGTAGTTGGCAAACTACAAACAGCCCATGGGCCAAATCTGGCCCCCTGCCTATTTTTGTAAATAAAGTTTTATTGGAACACAGCTATGCCCATTCATTTACATATTGTTTATGGCTGCTTTTGTGCTATAACGGCAGAGTTGAGTAATCGGAACAGAGACCATATGACCTGCAAAACTGAAAATATTTACTATCTACCCTGTATAGAAAAAGTTTTGTTACCTCATGCTCTAGAGAATGGATCTTTAACAGACCTTTTTCAAGATTTTCTAAATCTCTTTTTACTTAAGAACTACTATGGACTGATTTGTGCCCCCCCAATTCATATTTTATAGCCCTAACCTCCAATGTGATGGTATTTGGATATGGGGCTTTTGGAAGATAATTAGGTTTAGATGAGGTCATTAGGGTGGAACCCTTATGATGGGATTAGTGCCCTTATAGGAAGAGGCACCCAGGAGCTCACTTGTTCTCTTTCTCTCTCTCTCTCCCCCAGCCATGTGAGGGCACAGTGAGAAGCCAGGAAGAGAGCTCTCGCTAGAACCTGACCATGCTGGCACCTTAATTTTGGACTTCTAGCCTCCGGAATTGTGAGAAAATTAATTTTTGTTGTTAAGCCACTAGTCTATAATATTTTGTTATAGCAGCCCTAGCAAACTAGTACAGGACCTCTAAGTTTTTAGATCTCCAGAAAGAAGTACTGCGTACGTCTCAGATCATACCCAGGCCATTTTTGTAACTGTATGTAGCAGAAAGCTGCCATCACACACTTGCCCTAATGCATTCACAGTTCCAAACCAATCAGTATGTTTAGAGGCAGCAACGAGTTTACAGACCAATATGTGGGGCTTTCTACCAAAAGCCAAAGTATATAACTGTGATTTCTTTCTGTCTAGCTTCTTGCTGTTTATCACAATAATACATCTTGGCTTATACCTGAAAGGGTGTAGAAGTATGGTGAGTGCATTCTTCAATTAAAAAGTTGGGATGCAAAATCAACTAAACACATGCATGTTTCTTGGAGTCAGGATGGCCCCGGGAAGCATGGGCAGAGTGGTCTCTCTCTCTCTCTCTCTCTGTGCATATATATATCTCCTATGAGTCAGAGAGAGTGAGGCCCTGCCAGAAGGAAGCCTGCAGGAAGGACATCTCACTGTGTAACAAAATACACTGGTCATTTGAGACAAACTCCTCCCTTAGACGAAGAGAAAAGCACACTCAGTTACCACTAGTCAGTGCTCTGCCTTCCCAGTGGGCTCCAGAATGCAATCTCTCTACCTTTAAGCAATTGTTGGGACTTTTCCAGACCACTCTGCCACTGCATAGCTCTGTGCTTTCTAATTAGCATAATTCAGGATGGGACCAGATGGCGGGTTGAGCATTGCATAAGGAATTGTTCTGTATATGAATAAGTGCCTACTTAGAGTGTAAGTGGGTTATTAGTGATCTGAAGTGACAAAATTCAAAACAACACACAACAGCCATTTGGCACAGCTGTGTCCGTCTAGACTTTGCTTGCTAAGAAACCAAGAGTAAAACGCCTTTCAACAGTTAGCTCTCAGCAAATGCCAACAAGCCTTCTCTGCACCCACCTCTTTAAAAATAAGAGTCACAACATAAAAGTTGTAAAGTCCTGAAATCAAGCATTATAATATTTGATCTTTACCATGACTTGCTGAGGTGGGTCAAGTAACGCAGGCCATGAGACCCACTGAAAATGGAGGCTTGAACTCAAGTGTCCTGATTCAGAGGCAGGTGCTGAAGCCCGCAGACTGGAGGAGCAGTTGGCTGGGTGGGTGCGAGGCTCTAGCAAGGGCTTTGGAATTAGACAGGCCTGGGTGAGCCCCTGGCTGTATCATCTCCTGAAAATGCAACCTGAGTCAAATTCCCCGTTGGTAAACAGCAGTGATACCTACAGCACCTACCTCAGAGGGTTGTCCTACAGATGAAATCCAATGAGAGCCAAGTCCCTAACACGGAGTGGGTACTCAACAAAGCAGTCCCCTTGTCCCGTCCCCCTCCCCTGACCCCACCCAGTAGACCCCTGGTTGGGCTGACTTCTCTGTTCCAAAGTCTTCCTCACTGCAGAGGACCTGCCACCTGAGCTGCCTTAATTTCCCAGCCCCTTTTTCTCTATGCCCCGAGAAACTTCTTGCTACACTGGAACCCAACCTTCGCAATTCAGAATCTGTTTCCTCCTGGCAACTGATGGTGCCAACATGGTTAGCTGTTCCTCTCCTTTTCTTAAACTCCTCTCTCTCCTACTCACAAAGGAGTTTGCCATCCTTCATCTCATACCTGACTTAAGTGATACGGTTTGAGAAGGAAAGCCCTCTAGATGAATGGCTCTTTCCAGATATGCAAAGCTTATTCATTTGGATACCAAAGCCTTGAAAAAAATTACCCATTTTCAATGGAAAACTTTCTAAAATGTACTGCATATACTTCCCTGTGTTGTGGAAGAACACGTGCTTTTCTGGGTGCCTCAGGGGGGCCACCTTGAAGAACAGCTCTTGTCCCCTGTATCTGGGTGATGGGAGGTGGGCAGGGGTCTGGGGCAGTTCAGCCCTGAGCAGACCAGGAGGCCCAGCATAGGCGGCTGTGGCTCTGCATCATCCCTCTGCTGGCCACCCTCACTCAGGGTTCAGCAGGCATCCTGTCCCCTGCCCTGGACAGCCCACTTCTGCTCTTTCCAGTCCCTTGAGCTGTCACCCAGCAAGAAGCAAACATTTCCTGGTGATGCCAAAGAGCCAAGCTTGTTAAGCCAGAAAGTTTGAGTTTATACATCATTCCAATCAAAAAGCTTCTTAGAAGCCTCCACACCTCTCCTGGAAAACTAAGCATAGACACTTTGTGACTATTATTTTCCTGCCAACAAAGTCTTCTATTTAAAAAAAAAAAAAAAAAAAAGACACTTTTAAATAGATTTTTTCACACCTACACAAAGGTAGAGAGAATTGTGTACTGAAGCCCACATATCCTTCACCCAGCTTCAATAGTTATTAACATTTTGCCAATCTTGTTTCATCTCTCCGGTCCCTCCACCCGTTTTCTGGTTTTGTTTTTGCTGGAATGTCTTAAAGCAAATCTCTGGTTTCCCCTAATTTTACTCATAAATATTTCAGTATGAGTCTCTAACAAGATAAAGACATTTTAAAACATAATCATAATGCCCTGATTATACCCAGCAAAACTCATAATATTTCAGAGGCCCAGGATCCAGCTGTATCTCACTGGCCATGGATAAATGTGGTCTTTGTGGTCTTATTATATTAGATTTCTTAAGGTCTTTTCAGGACAATAGCAAAACCTTTTTACTTTTACATAACTTCAAACTCACAGAAGCTTTGCAAGAATAGTACAAAGAATTCCCATACTCTTCATCCATATTTCCCAAATGTTAACATTTTACCATATTGGCTCTATCCTTCTCTCTGTATCTATATCTATAATTTTTTTCCTGAATTGTTAGTATGTTGCAGACATGATGTCTCTTTATCCCTAAAAATTCTCTTACATAACTACAATACAACTATCAAACTCAGGAAATGAACATTGATATACTGCTATTATCTAATCTTCAGACTTTATTGAGATTTTTCCAGTTGTCCCAATGATTTCCTTTAAAACAAAAAAAATCCTGGGTCATGTCAGTTGTCATGACTCTTCAGTCTTTTGTAGTCTGAAACAGTCTCTGGGTCTTTCTTTGCGTTTTATAACATTGATATCTTTGGAAAGTTCTGGTCAGCCATTTCGTAGAATGCCCCTCAATTCAGGATTATCCAGTATTTCCTCATGATTCAATTCAGGTTATGCTTTCTTGGCAGAAAGACCATAGAAGTGATGTTTTGTTCTTCCCAGGTCATCATATCAGGAGGCATGTTATGTTGATTTGTCCCATTATTAGTGTTAACTTTGATCACTTGGTTAAGGTGGAATCTGCCAGGTTTCTACACTGTAAAGTTACTCTTTTTCCCTTTGTAATTAGTATCTTGTGAGAAGATACTTTCAGATTACGTAAACATCTTGTTGCTTCTCAAACTCCTCCTTCCCTAATTTTAGTGATTCTTTCCTAATTCATTGGTGATTCTTGCCTGAATCAACAACTATGATGGTGGCCAAATTGTGATTTTTCTAAGTATATCATTCCTTATACATTTATTAGTTGGATTTCTACTACAAGAAAGAATTTTCCCCACTCTCCTATTATGTGAACTCTTGATTCTTGTTTTTTAATAGGTTGAAATCCTTTACCCTCATTATTTATTTTGATATTCAAATTCTTCAAGATTTAGCCAGTGGGAGCCCCTCCAAACTAGCCCCTTTTGATACTTCCCTATCGTTCTTTGATCACTTCTTTACTTTCTGGCATGACAATGTTATAAACTCCTCTTATCCTTTCCCTGCTCCAGCCTTCGAATCTGCCATTTCCCCAAGGAACCCCAAGCGCTCTCGCGCGCGCGCGCGCACACACACGCACGCATTCCTCTTTCTCTCTCTCCATTCATTTGTCTGTCTAAAACCACGATGGGTTTTGTGGTCTTATTATGGTAGATTTCCTAATCTACGCCACAGACTTCATTCTGTTCCTCCCCTTTCCATAACTGTAACTTCATTCTCACACAGAGAAATCTGGTTCCCATTATGCACAATATATTTACTTATATGCTTAATCCTCCAACGTTCAGAAAGTCGTTTCAGAATTGCTAACCCACACCGCTGTGAAAAGGAAGCCTGCTAACTGCAGTTAAATATTTGTTTAAAGTTCTTTTTGTCTTTAGCCTGAGGACAAAGCTGTCGAAATGCTATGTTCAAATGTTACTGGGTTAACTTTCTTCCCGGGTAATTAGGTTATTCAAAACTGCTCTGTTGAAATACTGTTCTGTTGATCTGTTTCGGTTTATATTCCATCTGAGGGTTTTCACTGTCCGTATTGGTCTTATTTATTCTCTTTATTTTAAGTATATGAGTCATTAACACGATTCCCTAAACCAGAATTGTTCAAAAAGTATGCTCAGAGCAGGGTCAGTTTCCCTCACTCCACAATTTTTCTAACCTTTCCACCTCGTTCCCACCAATGCCTGTAGGTAACTAATCTCAACAGTCCCTGGTTTATCCTTTTGGTGTTTAATTTTGCACAAATAAGCAGATAGATATATATTTCTGTTACATGAAAGAATACTAAGCATACTATAGATTCTTCTTTGCACTATCAAAAGCTCTGTTAAGGCCCCCACCACTTCTGTTTGGTTCTCTCTTGCATTTTCTTGCCATTTCCCATATATCCCTGACTCTCTGTGACTTAGAAAATTCATAGAATGTTAAGTTCACTGAGGTGAACTATATATCAACTCAATACAGATGTTGGTTTTAAAAAGTGACTTTTGTCGTCTGCTAGACAAGCATTCTCAACCAAGAATCCTAGAAGAAGCCCCAAACCCAGCACAGATGCAAAACACCACACCCAAACCCAAGATCCATGTTCAAGCAACCGTTGTCTCTGAGCCAGCCATCCTTTCCTATTAACGGAGCTGGGTGCCCAGAAACAAAGTAACCAGGGTCTGGAACGAGCAACTTCGTGGATTTTTTGTAGGTTTACAGATTTAAAAGAAAAGTCAAGCGGGCAGTCTTTCTACACAAGGCTGCCACTGTCACTTGACTATAACTTTGCTTGGATTGCACACAGCCCAGCCCTCCCTAGAAGGTACCCTGGGAGAGAGGGGCTCCTGGGATCTGTGCTTTCCTGGAAGGTCACAGGATGCACCTGCCCAGAGCTCCAGCCTATGGGACACACAGAACAGCTGTTTTTGCTCAGCTTGAGCAAGCTAGATTTAGTGAGAAAGGAGGGGTGGAAGGAAGAAAGAGGAAGGAACAATTCCACACCTGTTCATGTACTTTTCAGGAGTTCTCCTCCCAGGGACTCATAAGCATTGGAAAGGACTTCAGTGGAATTTATTTCAGTTCCCTAGGGGGTTAGCAGGTGGCTCTTGATTGCTGTTATAGACAAGCTTGCCTGCATCCAGCTAGGGATGGACCTACAAGCAGAGAACTCAACAGAGACAATTAACACAGGCCGTTACCACCTCCCACCATACCCTTCCAAGCTTCATCTAGATCCAGAAGATCTGGGTAATACATTTTTGGGACATATGTATAACTCATCTCTGACAAGGCCAGACCTACTCAGTGGGGATTCTCTCCTGCTCAAATTACAGAACAACTGTCTGCCCAACAGTCTGGCTGTGGACAATGTGCTATAGAGAATCTGCTGCTCAGACCATCTTAGGAAGCAAGTAGAGGCTGGAAAGTACCTAGACCTCCTCGGATCCCCTGCCACCCCTTTAGGAATGGGTCATAGATAGCTCAAGCGACCTGGAAAGCCCCTTGCTATGAATTTCAGTCCCAGCCAGAGCACTGTAGGATCCGAGGATCCAGCCAAGGATTCTGGTGATTGTGAATCCCAGAGGTGGGCATTCCAGACCTTCTCCCAGCCCCCAGGACTTGCCATGAGTCACAACACCACAGTAAATAAGAGAATGTTTTCTCACGGATGCGCCAGGCCACCAGCATCCATGGCTGCCCTGTCTCCTATGTCAACAATGAAAAACCCGTAAGCAGCCCCCACCTCAGGATAGATCCTTGTTTCTCTGACTGCAGCTCCAGAAGCTGTGGGATATGGTGCAAAAAGCAGTGAATTTAGAGTTAGAGCGTCTGCCACTTTGTGTGATCTGGGTCTATTCACAAAGATGATTCTCAGCCTCAGTGGGCTAACCTGTAAAAAAGATGACAAGATAATAAGATTATCTATCTTACAAGGTTTTGGCAAGCATTGAGTAAAACAATGTTGATTAATGCGTGTTTCAGGAACTATAAAATACTCTTTTTTTTTTTTGTGAGGAAGATTAGGCCTGAGCTAAGCTCTGTTGCCAATCCTCCTCTTTTTGCTGACAAAGACTGGCCCTAGGCTAACATCCGTGCCCATCTTCCTCTACTTTATATAGGATGCTGCCACAGCATGGCATGATAAGTGATGCATAGGTCCACACCCAGGATCTGAACCCACAAACCCTGGGCCACCAAAGCAGAGCACACAAACCTAACCGCTACGCCACTGGGCCAGCCCCTAAAATGTTCTTTAAAAACACTGGCTGTCTCTCCATAAAGCAAATGATGGTACGCTGTCTATTCCAACAGTGCAGACAGGGCAGCAGCCCCACTAACGTCACAAATTTACCCCAGGTTTTTATCAAGCACCTACTTTATGTCTAGCACAGAAAACATGAGGTCAGAATTATCATACAGTTAAGAAAAGAAAAATGCAACACTTAGGAAGAAAGAATTCTGTGTGACCTGGGATATTGAGAGAAATCTTGATGGAGGATGCGATGTGAAAACTGCACCTCAGAGGGAGACCAGGATGTGGAGAGGATGAGAGAGAAAGGGGAAGTCATTGCAAGCATTTGCTATCATCTTTTGGATAAATCAGAATAACATGAGTTTGTCAATATCGTTCTTTTAGTTGCAGTGTTAGTTATTTCTTGGAGGTAGCTGTTTATTCTGCTTAAAGGCCGTTGTATTTAAAGATGTCTAGAGGGGCTAGGTGAGATTGCAGAGGGCCCAAAACTGCCCCACCCAGAGTGAGCCTGGTTCTGGGCTCCAGATTTGGACGTCACGGGGATGTGACAGTTTCCCACCCCCTTGTGGACTGCAGAGAAACTTTTTGCCACAGGGGCCTCAGAAAAGACCGGAGTAGGGTTGGGGGGACGCATGTTTAATGAGCACCTACCAGGTGCCAGGCCTGCACTGGGCTCCTCACGACGGCCCCACGACTTAGACATTCTTATTGGCATTTTACTGAGGAGGAAAGTCAAGCCCTAGAGAAGTTTGGTAACATCTCACACAGGCAGGATGTGAACCCTTTGGAAATAAACGAAAACTGCCCAGATGAGAACACGCACTTGGCAGATGCGTTCATTTCGGGGGTCTTCTTGGATTCCGTAGGTGTGTCCGTGGAAGGATGCCGTTCTGAAACTCTTTGGAGAATATTTCTTTAAATTCTGTTAAGATATCTGGCTATGACAGGATGTTATGGACACTGGGAGGAAATCTCACGGAGTTTATTGAAAACCTGGATGCCCTCCACAGTTACCTCACACTCTCTTATCAGGTAAGGCTGAGTCTGATCTTGATGACCCGAGTGGAAGCAAATGCCTGTAGCCGTTCTGGGCTACCTCCCGCCTCCCCCGTGAGGGGTGCAGTTGCAAAGGGCCTGAGGAATCCTTGGTACATGGTGTTAGTGGGCCGAGGAGTTCTCTGGGGAAAGGAATGGAAAATAAATACCTGTTGGCCATTTTTATAAACTGGCTGACAACAAGCTGGAGAGGTCGGCTTTGTGATGGAGGACGGCCTATTCTGATAGGGGCTGGTGTGGGTTTGGAATGAAATCTAGAAGACTGATCACGATGGGAACAAAGGCTGGGAAACAGATTTCAGTGGATTTGCAAAATCTCTCCTCAGGTTTCCTGGCCTGGATGGAGCTGATAAATAGCTTCTGCAGCGAGATTCATTTATTCACGTATCAGAAGGAAAGACTTGACAGGGCCGAGAGCCGGAATCGGAAACCATCCAATTCTGATTAACCCACGGGGTGACTGCCTGAGGTGTTAAGAAGCTAATTTCCCTATTGGGATATGTCCTTCTGGAGTTCATTCCTTGGTTTTCTTATTTGTAGAGATCATTGGGAATTCAAATGCCTAGACTCCTTTTTCTTTTTTAAAAAAGAGAACGCTTTATTGAAAAGACAAAGTGACATTTACACGTATCATAATAATAATCTATTATTTTAATAAAACAGTTTCTATTTATTTCTAGGGACATGTATAGTTCACTAAGCTCTTTTTTTTTGCCATTTCTATATTTATTGCTCGTAACCACCTTTGAAGGGTTATCATGAAGATAAAATGGAATTACGTGTGTTAAAGAACATCATGAACCATAGTGCACCCTTATAGGTGTTAAATTAGAAAACTATGATTTTCTCCAGTTTTCAGATAAGGAATAAGAGGCTTGGAAACCTAACTGACTTCAAGTAGGATGAGTTGGCGGGTCTGTCCTGTTGTTATCATGTGAACTACTCAAGCATAGAGGGAGTGGAAAGAGCCCTGGTTATGGGTCAGGTGGGCCTACCCTGCTGTCTTACCAGCTCTCTGACTTTTTAGCTGTGTGATCCCAAACAAGTTATTTACCCTCTCTGGACTTCCATTTTTTCAGTTATTTATTTAATAAATATGTATTGAGTACCCACTATGTGCCAAGCACTTTTTTAGGCATTGGACGCACACACAGACAAAAAGGAATAAATAGGAAAAAAAATCATCCCTCATAGTGATGTGTGGATTAAAAGAAATAACATATAAAAGTCTCTAGCACTGTAATCAGTACAGAAAAGGCATTTCATAAATAATAACTTCCTTCTCTTCCTTTTCTCTCTGTTCAATATGGCTAGTTTTAAAAGTAATTCATATAGCAACTCCCTTTCAAATTTCTCAGCTAAAGCACTACAATTAGGAGAATTGAGAAATACAGGTAGGCCCCTTCGATACTTTTCCATAATAATTTTAAAGTCAAATCTTTCATCTGAAAATTTGGCTAATATTTAAGACACAGTTCTAGAGAAGATATTAATGTTCTTCCATTTGTTCATTAAATCAAAAAATATTCTGGAATATTTTTTAGGTTCCACGTATTCCTCTTACTGTCTTACTGTCACTTTTATGAAGAAGAGTGAAAGGAATCGAGTTTCTGAAGTTCCAAGTCCATTGTTTTTATCCCACTCCTGCCACCCTTCTTCTGATAGTCATTCCTTCATCTGCCAAAACCAAGGCTGGAGAAGCAATAGAATAGAATGTCTCCAGGGTAAGTGAGAACATTTTGCATATAATGAGATAAATAAAATATATAAATGTTATAGTATGAAAGTTGAAATAAAATACATGCAGTGATACCCGATAGCTATATAGTGCTTTATACTGGGTAAAATATTATAGATTGTCTCTTTAGGCAAAAATAAAATAAGATAATGCTGACTTTTCCTTTATGTCTGTCTCTAGTAGCTTGGCAGTGCTTTAAAGCATACTTTTCTGGTTATAGCTGTGCCTTTAATCTTGTTTGTTTTTAGCTAAGTTTCATTGGATGCTAATTATGAGGCAGGTGTTGGGCTAAGTAATTTATAAACATTGAATTATCTTCTTAACACCCCTAAGATTAGCTACTCTTACTTTTCCCACTATACAGATGGAGAAACTGAGGTCCACAAGAGTCAAATGGCCCAGGTTGTGGTGGCTGAGCTAGGACCCGACCCCAGGGCTGCCTATCTCCACAGACTATGCTCTGTTCTGCTGCTCACTGTTTTCCCTTTGCCCTGATTCTCTGCTTTTATAAAGCCCTATTTTCATCAAGAAATAAAAGTATAATCATATTACTTAGAGAGTTGGAGACACTGACCAGAAGAATTAAAAGCACACGCTTTGAGAAGTGTCTCTGGAAGTGGCCTAGGCTGCGGGCAAGGAGTAAGGGTGGAGATGGCAGCAGGAGTGTGTGGATGTTCATTTTAGCCCTTCTATACTCTGTTATTCTATTTTTGCTATGTAGGGTTGAGATATAATTTTTTAAAATAACTTTTAATTTCCTGTATCATATGCTTTTTTGTATGTGCTGCCTCTAATCTTCTGTAGATTCAGTCAAGATGTAAACACACGTATATACAAACATATGCATTCTCTATGTATATGCTTTTGGAAAGATAAAATAAATATTTTTTAAAAACTCCAACAAATCTCATTTTAACTAGCAACTGTTCCCTCCCCTTGGAAGAGAGTGCAGATCTGGGAAGGAACCCACATCCTTAATCTCTTCCCTCACTCAGACCAAAAGTCAGGGTGCCAAGCTGCCTATGAATCAAGCAGGGGAGAAAACTCCTTCTCTTAGAGATTCCCCCAGGCAAAGTCTTCATCCTTATTTCCTGGCATGCGTCTACCATGAAATGGTGCCTACTTGAATTGTCAACATTTATTCCTGGAGAAAGATGATCTCTTCTGATGTATCCTTGATTTTCCAAATGTGCAACTTTATACCATGGATGGAATTATGCTTACAGAAGAAGGAATTAACTCTTATCCACTTGCACATTCCTCTGAGCCCCTGATCCTTCTGCGAGTGAAGTTGCTCGTGGTCGCTTGGTCACAGGCCGAGCACAGCAGTCCGCCACCCCTTGGAGTGTGGTAGAAGCAGCACAGCATGGGGGAAAGGCTCGTTTGGGCGTCGAAATGTCATTCCACCATTAATCTGGTCTTGAATCCCCTGAGCCTCGGTTTCGTTCTCTTTAAAGTGGAGATAATAATTGCCACATAGAGTTGGCTAGGGAGTTAGGTACTATATGAAATTCCTTACTATTGTCAGGGGCTGAAACCATGGGAGATTTTATTTATCTGTGATTGGAGCGGCGTTTGGGATATAGTTCTGTGTGATGTAGCGGATAAGTACTGTTGTTTCACAAAGCCTCCAAAACATAATTTAAGCAACTTGCATTCACTGGGAAAAACATATTGTGTCTTTTAATTAGGAGATGAACGGACCACCATTTCCTATGGAGAAAGGAGCAGATGGGAAAATGCTTCTCCATTACTACTTTGATAGAAGTGGTCTGTGCCACATTGTACCAGGTATGGGGATGGCTTAACCAGTTCCAGAGCTGTGAGGCCTCTGCAGTAAGGATAGCTTTCTCCACAAATTCTCCAGGATGGCTAACTGCCAGTTGTGGGTGGGAAGTTAGAGCTCCATCTCTTCTATAGTCGGACTCTTTGCCATCTTGACCATTACTCCCACAGTTCTGAACCTTTAAAAGAAGCTTCCAGAGTGCCAAAAGAAGGAATAATTTCATTTTTATTTCAACATTTAAAATTATGTGGATTTTTACATAGTTGTGATAATTCTGCATATATTAGTTTATATTGACTTTTTTTTGGTATTCAGCATTATAGAAAAAGCATCCTTCCACGTTTTCACATAGACTTTAAAACCACCATCTTCAATAGCTGAGTGATACTCCATATTGTAATTAGCTAGTCCCCTGTTGTTGAACTTTTAGTTGATACTACTCTTTTGCTATTATAAACAGTGCTGTGATGAACCTCTTCATTAGTGCTTTTCCCATGCTTTATTTTATAACCCTGGGCGACTCCCAGAGGAACATAAAACACCATTTTAATGCTTTTACAACTGAATTTTGCCTCCCTTATCTCCAGAGTGTGTTTAATGGGTTAAATGCCTTCCTGAAATAAACAAACAAATGAATAGGTGCTGATCTAGAAATTAGAGTGGCAGGGATGTATTTGGTATCCAGCCATGTATAACTTCAATCTCTGCCTGTAAGTTATTTTATTTTCTAATTTTATTAGTGTTTCATATGCTGCCTGTCTTGATGCAGGCCTGGGCATGGTGAACTCTGGAATAGTCATCAGAAGTTGTATAATTTGATTATTTTATGATTTTTACTGACACAACTGCCTTCTGCCATCCCTCACTGCCAGGTGTCCTTCTGCTTATTGCAGGTATCATTGAGGCTGTGGCCAAAGACTTCTTCAACTTTGAAGTGACCATGGACATCCTTGACATTAATAAGGAAGAGGAGAGGACAGGGAAGAAGGAGCATGTTGTATTTCTGATTGTGCAGAAGTCTCCCAGACAGATGAGAAGGGCAAAGCCAAACAGGTCACAAGATAGTCAGGACATCCAGAGAGACCAAGAGGTACTGGGTTTGCTATGTCTTCAAAAAGCATAATCCTTCCTAGTGGGGGAATCAACTGGACCTTCTAACAGTGGAGTCAGGCAGGGTTTCTCAATCTCCACACTATTCACATTTTGGACCAGATAATTCTTTGTTGTGATGGGCTGCCCTGTGCATTATAGGATGTTTAGCATCATCCTCTAGATCTCTACCCAGTAGATGCTAGTAGCCCCAATTGTGGCCATCAAAAATGTCTCCAGGTATTGCTAAGTGTCCCCAGGGTGGGGGTACAGGACAAAATCACTCCTAGTTGATAACCACTGGGTTAAGGTAAGCTGTATATACATTGAGAGGCTTTTTGGAGTGTACCTCAGCCTGGAAGATTTTCACCTATAAAAATATCAATATAAAGGGCCTGAAATTTGGGTCTGGTGGCTTATTTTGCAATCCTCCTAAAATAAATTGACCTTTCAAGTCCTTAGTGCCTACTTCTGCGGCTGAGGCCAGTCAGGGGTCTGGAGTCAGCTCATGATCCTGTGATTGGCTGCCTCAATTACAACTCGTGGAGGGAGCATTATCTGTTTAAGTATCACATATATTAGGCGCACAGCTCTCCTGTCACATAGCTTGTACAAATATCCAGATAAGTCTGTGATTCCTGGAGCACACAGTGTTTATATCTTAGAGCATTCAAAGTCCACTTCAGATCTGTTCACTGTAGAATCTTCAACCACAGGAAGAGATGATCATGTGTGATTTTCCTGCCAGCCCCCTCTTGAGATTTTGTAAAAAGTTCTTGCTGCCTTGATAGAGAAACAACATGAGGATTAATTAGTTAAAAATTTGGGGGCTTACGAGGTCTTGGTAGAATTGACCTCACAAGCCCTCACTGTTCCTCTGGCCTCACAGCAAAGGGGGCTTATGCATCTCCAGTCACATGACCAGACATGGATGCTTCTTTCCCTGCCATCTTCAGGCCCTGGAGGCAGCTTTCCTTAGGATGAAGGAGAAATATTTGAGTGTCACTCTTTGCCCTGTGAGGAAATCCTGCTGGGAGGTTGTGAGAAGTACGGTCATGTTTGGAAAAGGTGAGTGGGCTATTCTCCCGACCTCGGCTTTCAGAGCAGAATGACTGCTTGGTGAACACAGATGGGCAAAGTCGTCTATGATTATGATGTCGCTGATTTCTGCAGAGCTTGGGTTTGGCAGGCATGGTTTTTAACTTTAACATGTCAGACTCTATTTCGCCTTCCTTTGCCCCTTCTATTTGTGCTGGGTGACATGGAGACACAATCTTTCCCGTAATCAGGGAGAGCCACTAGAGAAAGGACTGGAGTTGGTGATGTGTTGAAGACAATGAGGATGAGGATGAGTACTGATATATTATCAAGGACAAGGAAGCTCCTCATTGCTCCTCAGGCCTTCTGCACTGGGATGCATTTCTGGCCTAGAAGTATGTGGATAATAACTATAGTGTCCAGTAGTGCAAAAGACACTGGACCAAGAGCCAAGAAAGCAGACTTCTGGCTCTGTCCCTGAGGAGCTGTGTGACCTTGGACAAGGTCCTCCATCCTCAGACGAAAAGTCCTCCATCTTCAGATGAAATTTTCAGATGCCTGAAAAATGAAGGCAGTAGGTTCTCTAATGGTGGTCTAGAGGCTAACATTCGGCCCTCTCACCACCCACCATGACCTGGGTTCATTTCCCCGTCAGGGAATCACACCCCACGACTGTCAGTTGTCATATTATGGTGGCTGCATGTGGCTGTGATACCGAAAGCTATGCCACCGATATTTCAAATACCAGCAGGGTCACTCATGGTGGACAGGTCTCAGTGGAGCTTTCAGACTAAGGCAGACTAGGAAAAAGGACCTGGCAAACCACTTCCAAAAAAAGTTGGCCATGAAAACCCTATGAATAGCAGCAGAGTATTGTCTGATATAGCACCAGAAGGTGAGAGCATGGCGCAAAAAGATTGGGAAGGGTTCCACTCTGCTGTACACAGGGTCACTAGGAGTCAGAATCCACTCAATGACACTAACAGTGAAGGTGCCCCTGTTGCACTGAGCTGGTCTTATGATCAGCACCTAACACCTGAGTCAGAATAAAGGCTCCGAACCATGGGGAGAAGAGAGCTAGAGTGCTCCTTATCATGTCCCCAAGGGTCATGATGACATGCATCTGGGAGAAGCGCTGCAGGGCTCAAAGGCTGCGTATTAAGTCCCTCAAGCCATGGCAAGTGAGTCAAACACGCAATTGACATCCTTTGTCTGGGAGATTTTCATATCAAAAAGGCTCCATTTCGAATCTCTACCCCTTGCCAAATAGGGCTGTTGGTTAAATTTTCACGTGCCACCCAAAACTGTCAATCTAAAAAGCTCCATGGCAAATGTCCCTGACGCTGGGCTGGGCGCACACACTCTGCTCTGCTGGCTCATTGTCTGGCTGTCACCGTTTCAATGCCGACTCTGTTTTCATGGCGAGACGTACTCAATTGGCCCAGAAACTCTTCAGCGGCGGGCAGAAACTTGGCAGGGGGCAGGGGGCTTCTCAACCTGGTAGCAAGTTTTCTGTTTGTTTTAATTTGGAAGAAGAATTGCCGTGGCCATCTGGAGATGCTGAGGGAGCCCATGCTGAAAAGCAAGAACTGCACTTTGCCTGTGAAACATTTAAGATGCTATCCCAAGCTCTGCTCTGGGCCAGGTTGGTGGCGCCAGTGGCCTGTGAACAGACTCTCTTTTTCTACATCCAGGGCATCTCATGGACACTTTTGTGCCTATTTATCCCAAGCGGCTCTGGATTGAAGAGAAGACGTTCTGCAATGCTTTTCCTTTCCACATTTTTTTTGATGAATCAGTAAGAGGCCCTTTCCCTCTGTAGCTTGGGTTGGGGATAGGCTGGGGAGGGAGTATGGTGCATGGCTTTTATGGCTGGTGGGGGCTTTCAAGTCACCAGGGCTCAGGGACCAGGATTTAGCCTGGCAGGACCATTGACTTCCTTTCCATTGTGACATCCTCTAGAAATCAGGATGCAGGATCTTCTTGATAGGTATGGAAGGAAGCTGTGCCAAGGGATTTGGATTAGTGAGTGCATGAGAAAGTTTGCCATTAGAGAAAAAGGAAGTGACACTTAAATTTACTACACCAAGAGAAGAAAGAACACAGTCGGTAGCAGTGGCAGGGTGGAATTCTCAACATGACCACTTGTTATCCTTGTGGCCACCATGGATGTCTCAGTTCCACCAAGCTTCACTTTCCGCATCTTGGAGGCGGGGGATACGTCTGTACCAACTCATGCCACTGTTCTGTGGGAGGTGTGAGGATGACCGGTAATGGATAACGTTGGGTCCTTATCGATTTCCTTGGATAAAATATATGTCAACTAAATTGATTATAAACTTGTTTAAAGGGCAATTAGGCAAAGTAAATTTGGTCCAAAAAAATCAGTTAAAATGCCTTCAGCCATCGTGATTTTCTCTGATATTTATTTCAACGCATAGACATGTTGAATCATCATCTACCAGTGGACTGCTGGATACAGATTCTATGACATTTACTCATTTAAGGGTCATCTCTGCTTGCAAAGCATTGATCTAACTGGGGAAATAAACACCCCTATAAGAAACAAGTAGGGAATTATAAAGCAATGTACCCCAGCTTTTCCCCAATGCCATGAGGATATTATTATTATTATTGCTACTACTACTATTTTAAATTCTAATCTACTTAAAAACCTCCCTTTCTTTTTCAGTTTTGGGCATAGAATGAGAGAAAACTTAATGATGCTTATTCCATAAGGTCAGGTTGATTCTGCAGGCTAACAAAGTCCCCGTGGTTAGTGAAGTTAAGTATTCCTGGACAGCCTGTGCTGGTATTGGACGTTTTACGTAAAGGATCCTCATTTTGCTTCTTCCTTCTGTGTGTTCCATGGAGACAGCAGGTGTCTCTCCACCTCCATGATGGACTCCTTCACCCAGGCCTGGGTGTCAGATCCAATGTTACAGAACTTGCTAGTTTCTTTATTAATTAATTCTAAAGAGACGGAGACAGAGACAGTGACAGAAAGACAGAGAGACCTCACAGAGCTAGGGAAACACTATTAGCTCAATTGAGAGCTTTAACCTCTGTTTCTGGTTAGTCAGAGACACACTTTCGAGCATTCCCTCACTGTTCTTTTCTCTTTCAGAGATTAGCTGCAGATTTAACTTTTAAAATAAATTTATTACTTCTCTGGTGTTTGTTCCACTACTGACCCCTTCCCCCCAGTGAGTCAAAAGGCATGGCCAGAATGACACTTCTAAGAGAAAGTTTGCAGTGCAGGTTGCTCTCTATGCCCTAGTCTTACATCTGTCCTCTGTGGATAGCTGAGGGTCAAGCAAGCTGAGTGGATATTCAGAAGTATGTCCCAGGACTCCAAACCCAGAAGATTCGATTGGATGAATATTTCTCCATCATTCATCCCCAAGTTACCTTCAACATTTTCAGCACCTGCAAATTTACCAACAGTCAATTTGTCCTGAAGGCACAAAGGGAAATGACGCCTGAAGCATGAAAAAGTCTACCCACCCTCAAACTCTGAGGTAGTAACTCACCCCTTCCCCACTGCTCTCTGCTGTTTGGGAGACTGGTCAGAAAGGAGAGAGGCAGAGTTTTCCAATTTCCTCCCTCAAAAAAGTTGGATAAAAAGGCTGGCCCGATGGCCTAGTGGTTAAGTTCGGTGTGCTCCGCTTCAGTGGCCCGGGTTTGGTTCCTGGGCGTGGACCTACACCACTCGTCTGTGGCCATGCTGTGACAGTGACCCACATATAAAATAGCGGAAGACTGGCAACAGATGTTAGCTCAGGGCAAATCTTCCTTAGAGAAAAAAAAGTTGGATAAAAAGTGGGGCAAAGACTACATTGAGATCAGTTGTTTTTTCTGACATTTCCATTTGGCCCAATCTGTAAACAATATATTTTATTTCCACCCATTTCTGGTTTAGACATAAATGAACTCTAATTATACATATATTATATTATAAATATAATATATATGTGTATGTATACATATATATGCACAATTATAAAGTTCTGGTCTCTGTTACCAAAATTTTCAGAATGTATGTGGTACTATTTGTATTAATTTAATGTCTGTCTTTTAGATAGTAACATGATCATGTGACCTACTGTTAATAGGGCACACATTTTGTTTTCATTTTTGTTTCAATTGTGGTAAAATTTACGTAACCTAAACTTTTTATCATTTTAACCACTTTTGAATGCACAGTTCAGTGGTGTTAAGTACATTCACTTATTTAATGGTTGTTGTACAACCATCATCACCATCCATCTCCAGAACATTTTTCATCTTGCAAAACTGAAACTCTGTACCCATTAAACAACAACTCTCCATTTCCCTCTCCCCCCAGCCCCTGACAACCACCTTCTACTTTCTGTCTGAGTGTGACTACTCTAGCTTCCTCATATTAGTAGGATCATACAATTTTTGTCCTTTTGTGATGGGCTACTTTACTTAGCATAATGTCTTCAGGGTTCACCAATGTGGTAGCATGTGTCAGGATTTCTGTCCTTTTTAAGGCTGAATTATTATTATATTATTATAATTATATTATTCCATTGCCTTTGCTTATCCATTCATCTGTTGATGGATTTTTGAGTTACTTCTACTTTTTGGCTATTGTGAATTATGGGTGTACAAATGTCTCTTCAAGTCCCTACTTTCAATTCATTTTAGTATATATCCAAAAGTGGAATTGCGGGATCATATGGTAATTCTATTTTTAATTTGTTCGGGAATTGCCATACTGTTTTCCAAAGCTGCTATACCATTTTACATTCCTATCAGCAGTGCTCAAGTATCCCAATTTCTTCACATTTTCTGGGACACTTGTTATCTTCTGGGTTTTTTTTTTTTTTTTTTTGGATAATTTCTATTCTAATGGGTTTTAAGTGATATCTCATTATGGTTTTAATATTCATTTCCCTAATCTTTAGTGATGTTGAGCATTTTTTTTGTGTGCTTATTAGCCATTTGTATATATTCTTTGGAGAAATGTCTATTCAAGTCCTTTGCTCATTTTTTAATCAGTTTTTTTCATTGTTGTTGATTTGTAGGAGTTCTTCCTATATTCTAGATACTAATCCCTTTTCAGAAATATGATTTGCAAATATTTTCTCTCACTCTATGGGTTGCCTTTTCACTCTGTTGATTGTGTCCTTTGATGTACAGAAGTTTTAAATTTTGATGTAATCTAATTTATCTATTTTTTCTTTTATTGCCTGTGCTTTTGGTGTCAAATCTAAGAAATCATTGCCAAATTCAATGTCATGAAGGTTTTTTCCTATGTTTTCTTCTGAGAGTTTTTATAGTTTTAACTCTTACATTTAGGTCTTTGATCCATTTTGAGTTAATTTATGTGTATATGTAATGGGGCACGCATTTTGAGCGGTCTTTTCTACTAGACTGACGATTAGGTGTGCTAGGCATAAACACAGGCAGAGCTGTGGTGACATCCGAGAGGAACCCCAAATGAGTCGTAGAGTGGAGTGATGGGAGATGAGGCTGGCAAGATGAGGATTTGAGCTCTGTTGTGCAATTACAAACATTTATAGGTGTCTACCATGAACAGATTTGAGGTTTCGATCTTGATCAATCTGGAGTCATGTGGTAGATGGACCAGAGAAAGTGGAGGCTGGGAGGCCAGGTAGAGGCTGCCACTGAAGAGCAGGTGAGAAGCTTTAAAGTGCTGAATGCACTCAGGCAGTGGCGCTGGGGTGGTGACCAGGGCATAGAGTCACAGGATAATTAAGGCAGAAATTGGTAACCAGATGTAGGGGTTGAAGAATAGAAAGACTATTTGGGATAATTATTAACTTTCTTGCTTGGGTAGCTGGGTGTTATGAACTGAGAAAAGACATGATGTAATCTCCTTGAGGGCAGGAACTTCTGTCAGTCTGAGTCACTGCTATATCCTCCAAGTCTGAAAGAGTGTGCCTGGCTCCTCCTAGGGACTAAGTACGAGTGTGATGAAAGAATTAACAAAGAAAGAGAAGATTTGCCGAGAGAATTGAAGGTGAGTTCAATTGTATACATTCATGTATAAATACGTAATACGTAATTTAAAAAAAGTCACTGTTGATGGGAATGTAAATTGTCACAATCATTCTGGAGGGCAATTTGGCAATATGTATCAAAAGACTTAAAAGTGACCATATTCTTTGTCTAAGTAATTCCATGTCTAAGAATAGATCCTTTAACAAAATAGCCATGATTATACACTTTCCTCAAGGTTGTTCATTGCAATGTTGTCTATGGAGTGATAAATTAGATGTAATATAATCAATGCTAGCTTATTGCTTAAACATAATATAGTATAACCAATGTAGCCAGCAAAAATGTGATGCATATCTATATTTAATACTATGGAAGAATATCTATTATATATTTTAAGTGAAAAATTCAGATTACAAAAATAAGATGCGAGATAACCCCACTTTTTGGTAATAAAAACATACACTCCAAAATATTAACAATGATTATCTATGTGGTGTGATTATGGGTGATTTTTATTATTTTATTCCACTTTTTTCTTTTTTGCAATGAATGTGTATTAATTTTATAATAAAATAATGAACATATCTATTTTTAAAGAAATAAGCATCCTAAGTCCGGGAAGCAAGGTTTCCTCTGGAAATTCAGATTCCTTGTCAGCGTGGTATAGGATACAGTAGTGGAATGCTAAAAGAGAAGAATATCAAGACAGAACCCTGGGGAACACCAGCGTTTAAGGAATGAACAAAAAACCCCAAAGGAGTAACTGAAAGAAGAAGGAGAAATCTCAGGGAGAAAGTAGTGTGAGGGAAGTGCCCAGAAACAAGATTTCAGGGAGGAGAGTCTACATAACACCATCAAATGGCGGGAGGGCTGAGTAAGGAAAAGGCTGACAGGCTTGTGTTGGAGGAGGTAGTTTGGAGACCATGGACGGGAGCCACTTCAAAGTAAGAATAGCAGCTGTGGAGAGAGCCGTTGTGGGGAGAGAGGGAGATGAGTGAGTGGAGACAGAAAGCATGGATAACTTTCATGAAATGTGGCTAAAAGGGAAGGACCGAGACTGTGTAGTGGATAGAAAGGCATACTGTGTGGGTGATGATCTGGCCAGTGATATCATCTCCTGTTGGTGACATGCTGTATTGTCACGTTTCTCTCCGTGGTGGGAAGGCCAGATGATCTGGGTGGAGCCCATGCGGTGCATGAGATACATGTGCTCCCCGAAGCTCCACGGCCTGCAGGAGCTGGAGGAGCGCAAGATGCGTCTTTCTGACATCGCCCCCCACGACACCACCAGGGATCTCATCCTCCTGAACCAGCAGCGACTGGCTGAGATTGAGCTGTCCAACCAGCTGGAGAGGAAGAAGGAGGAGCTGTGGATCCTCTCCAAGCACTTGGCCATAGAAAAGAAGAAAACAGAGACCTTGCTTTATGCCATGCTGCCTGAACAAGTGGCCAACCAGCTGAAGGAGGGCAAAAAGGTCGCTGCAGGTAAGGCATTCCTTTCCCTTCACAGAGAATTCTGAGCAGGAGGCAGTGCACCTTAATGGTTAGGGCCACAGGCTCTGAAACCAGACAAATCTGGGTTTGGATTCTGGCTCTGGCTCTTGTTAGCAACATGTTCTTTGGCTAATTACTTAAGCTGTATATCCTTAGTTTTCTTCTCTCTACACTGAGAATAATAAAAATGATACAGGAGTGAAATATGGATTAAATAAAAATGCCTGTCATCTACACACACATATATTCCATCCTCTAAGAGTTTAAAGCTGTATCTTGAGATTGGCCTCTTTGCTCAGTGACCATGAATAGGGTTCTTCACTATAACTGGAAATGATACACCCACACATTAAATAAATCATGTGTGCCTCTAAGGACCATTTTGGGAGAGCAAAATATTTCTGGAGGGAAGAATGCCATGTTTACTCTCAACTCACTTTCCATTTGTCATGGTGAGTGTCCATTCACCAGACAGCCATGGTGAACTCAGTGCCAGGGTACTGTCCCAGGACTTGGGGACCCACAGGAGTCCATCGTCTTGTGGGTTTGACAGATATATACAGAGTAAATTAATGGGGGTGGAGGTGGACAAAGGAAAGGAAACTCATGTGCAATACTTGCCTTAAGGAGCAAGTATTGTTCCAGGATCTGAGTTAGACATTTTACATACGCTATTTCATTTAATTTTCTGAACATTTCTATGAGGGAGATGTTCTTATCCATAACAGCTGAGCAAATTTGCATTCACTTTAGTTTATGAGTAAAAAGCTGGGAAACCAATCAGAGTCCATCTAACTCCAAAATTCATACTCTTTCTACCACAGAAGGTGCTGCGGAAACACAGATGACAGGGAAATTAATAACAAATGTCAGAGGAGAAAGAGATGGGGCAGGGTGAGGCTGTGAAAGCTTATATAAAGTGTATGCTCTTGAGTTGGGCCTTGAGCCTGAATTTCAGCAAAATAAGAAGGCAAAGGATTTCAGGAGAAGGGGAGGACAAGAACAAAGGTGAGGCAGCATGAAGATAAACACTGCAGTGCACTGTCCCTGTGCACTGTGCAGTGCACAGTGCACTGTGTACATGGCAAAGCGGTACCCGTTGAGGCCGGACGGATAGGATGAGGCTCCGGTCATAAGTGATGAATCTGAATGATCATGGAAAGGGAAATTGTCTTTTATTTTAGATGTAGGGATTCATTGAAGTTTTTTTTTCTTATAATGGAAGGATGTGATTAGCTTTATAAATATGATTTTGGCTGCAGTGTAGTGAATGCATGTAGTGAACTGCACTCAAGTGCAGTTGAGTGATGGTCAACTCCTGAATTAAGGCAGCACAAGTAGGAATCAGCAGCATCTCATAAGTGATAAGATGGGAAGGTAAGAGATAGGAGTCAGTGATGAGTGTGAGGTTTCTAGTGTAGAAAGATGTGATGCTTTATCCTAAGACAGAACCAGAAAGAACAGCCTTGAGGGCAGGGTGGTAAGGTCAGTTTCAGAAATGTTGGGTTTGAAATGCCTGTGGAATACTCCACATAGCATGACCAATAGGTAGTTAGGAATTGTAGGGAGAGCTCAATGGAAAGTTCTAGGATAGAGCTATCGATCTGGGAGTTATTGCAGTGTGGGTGGTGGTTAATCATAGACTCCATAAATGATGAATACGATCACCTAGAGGGCATGAGGTGAGAAGAGAAGAGGGTTGGGTATTGAACCTTAGGGAACATCTATTATTTAATAAGGGAAAAAAGCCAGTGAAACAAGGAGATCAGAAAAGTAGGAAGAATATAAAGAGAGAATGGTGAGCCAGCCAAAGGGAAGAGAAAGTTACACAAAGGGGAGATTATTACCAGAGGTATTAATAATACAGAAGGCACCCAGCTGTGTTCAGAGTCATCCATTCAGTTGTTCAACAAGTAGTTATTGAGCACCTACTTCATGCCAGGCTTTGCTCTAGATGGTGGGGATACAGCAGAGATCACAACATCCTTCCATCTCATGGAGCTTATATTTCAATGGGGAGATAGACAATAACCAAATAAACAATCTCATATAAAATATCATGCCACAAATGTCTTACGGGGTGGAGGGCAGCAATTAGGCTAAGAGGATGGAGATCTAGGGACTGTTATTGTAGATAGAGTGGTCAGGACAGTTCTCACTGAGGTGGTTACATTTGAGATGTGAGAGACAGAGCCTCGTGGATATTTGAGAAAAGAATGTGTCAGGCAGAGGAAACAGCAGGTGCTGAGGCCCTCAGCAGGAGACACTTAACATGCTGGAAAGACCCCAAGGAGGCCAGTGTGGCCAGAGTGGAGTGAGCCAGAGGGAGTGTGGGGACATGAGGTCAGAGGTGGTGTGAACAGAGGGGGCCCCTTATAGGCAATGGTAAGGATTTTGTGTTTTATTCTAAGTGTGATAGAAGTCGTAGAAAATTTGAGGCAGAGGAGGCAGAGATCTGACTTAAACAGATCATCTGGCTGCTATATGGAAATTAGCAACAGTGGGGGCAAGAGTGGAAGCGGCCAGATGAGTTAGCAGGACATATGGATGATATGGCGGCTTGCCCCCTGTGCAGAGATAGGGAATTCACCACTATCATGACAGTGACCAGTCTCTGTCAGTCTCTGCCCTGGGTCTCCTGTAGCTCAGGCTCTGCCTTGGCCCACCGGCCAGGGGCTTCTCTGTAAGCCAGTGCCCACCCAACCCGTTTCTGTCATCCCACAGCACTTGTCACATCTTAGTGAGTATTTGTTTACTCCTCTGTCTCCTCCTCTAGACTGGGAACTCCTGAAGAGTGGGGGCCCTGTCTGCTTAATGTTATATGATTCTCCCAGCATGATGACTAGCTCACAGCAGACACTCAATAAATGTCTGTTGGATGAATGGTGAGTGGTGAATGGCATCTGGCTCCTTATCCCCAAGGCACAGTCAGATTTGGTTCCCAAGGGGCACTTGAATTCAAAATTCATAGAATTATTATTCTATATCCTTGGCTATCACTGATACCTGGTTTCTGTTCTCTGCAGGAGAATTTAAAACCTGCACAATCCTTTCTAGTGATGTGGTGACATGTACTAACATCTGTGCTGCCTGTGAACCTATCCAAATAGTGAACATGCTGAATTCAATGTACTCCAAGTTTGACAGATTACCCAGTCTCCACGAGGTCTACAAAGCAAGTGTTTGTGTACCATGGGGTGTCTGTTACAGTGTGCTCAGGCAGGGCAGGCACTCGGTTATAGGCCTTTCTTTGCCTCTCTGTTCACTGGTCTGGGGTTTGGTGTGGATGGGAGTGGGGTGAAGAAGAAGAGCTAAAAGGGAATTGGAGGTATTTCAGGAATTTTAGTTTTTTAGGAATCTTTTGATAATACCCAGGGCTAAGAGGCCTTTGAGGAGCAAACACTGTTTCTCCAGGGAATGGTTCTCCCTTCTTAAATTTCATCGGCATCTATTGCAAATAATATACATCTAATACATAGTATCATATGACTACCCCAGGAGCTCATCTTCTCTAGGATGTTTCCACCAAAAACAGAAGGCCTTTTTTCTCTCTCTTCGTTGTTTTCTGAGCCATTTTTCTTCTCACCTCCTTCCTCACACTCCTCATACCCCTAGCAAATAATCAACAACTTTAATATGGTCCTTCTGACAATGTGCAGAAAAATGACAAAAATATTTGGTAATATGTTTCATGCGTTAAGGAAACTCTCTGAATACCCTTCTTTTTCCCTTCCAGGTGGAAACAATAGGAGACGCTCATATGGTGGTAGGGATGTCCCAGTACCTATTGGAAGCCATGCTCCTAGAGCAGCTAATTTTGCCTTGGGGATGAGAATTTCTGCAAAAGAAGTGATGCATCCTGTTACTGGAGAGCCCATCCAGGTAAAGAGTAACTGAGTACTTTGCTTAATACCGACCATCTCACACAAAAAAGGAGAATTCTGTTTATTAGACTGCTCTGATGATTACTGGATATGTTACAGTAATTAAAATGGGTAATTTCTCCCAACTCTTTTCCTCTCTTGCATATGTTCCTAAGTAATAGAGATATTAGGATATCATTGTTCCAACTTCTCTCAAATTTTGGAAGAGGCTTTAGAGCTCCAGATTTCCATGTGATTCACTGCAAACTTCCTTTGTCCGTATCTTAGGACAGTGCTGAGCACATCTCCTCATTTACTTTGTAGGGCTCAACCCATCTTGAATTTAAATGAAATTTGAATCTTGAATGAAAAAGCCAGGAATTTTGTAATTCCTGCTTTTTTGTGCAAGCATTTCAACAAGTGGTTCAGGTTTACTAAATAGCCAGCTTTTCCCCACTTAGGGAAATTGTGTATCCAGCATGCCGTCTGACAGGTTCAGAACTCAGGCTGAGGTGTGAAACTGCCTCTAGCCAGCAGGCTAGACACCACGGTGCCATAAGATATTCAGAATAGCTTGCCTTCCGCTATGTGGCCATTAGTGAGACATCTGTTCGCCTTTCTCACAGGATGCTACTCTTCCAAGTATGGAAGTTTGTTCACACTATGAAAGTTGGACAAATTTAAAGATGAAAAGTAGGTGCCCTCTTCTGTCTGCTCAGCAGAACCTAACCATCTTAAGGTAGCTTAGAGCAGTGTCTCTGCCTTTTAAAATCTAATCCCTTCTCTGCTCCTATCAGTCCAATCTTCAAAATGGACTAAATAGCCAACCAAAAATAAATAAAGCCATTGTAAGATGGAATATGATTTTTCCAAATTATAATGCCTATGCAGGAGATTCTAAAAATGTGCTATACCCACCCTCACCACAATGATTTGGAAGCTGAGAAATACTGCAGGTCCTGGTTATTGTGTCCACTGCAGTCTTCTGAGTAAAAGCTGGCTTGAGGTAGTCACAGGAACAACATGTCTACAATACTTGGCTTGTTGTAGACACACAGATACATCTGTTGAGTAAAACCCCCAGTGTAAGAAATTAAACATCAAGATGGGAACTAATGAGAGAGTAGAGATAAGAAGGTCAGATAAGAGATAAGTGTTTCAGTTAAACGACTCTAATGTAAGCCACTGAAGAAAAAATAATTGAAAATATACTGTTGTGTAATTAGAAAGAGTATATGTGTGTGTGTGTGTGTGTGTGAAAGAGGCATAGCAACAGAGATGTAAAGAATGCTACACTAATAAGAACGACATTAAACAATGAATTCCTGGAAACTTTCATGGTGGATTTACCAAGAAGAAAACAGGAAAAAGTGTTATTAATTCTAAGATAAGAATAGGGACGTAGTTAGGAGCATCATTAAATATCCACCAGAAACAGTGTATCATGTGGGTTTATTTAGGGAAGTAGAGGAAAGGACTGGAAACATTTTCTCTCTTAAGAGAATTGTGCTGCCATTTCTACAGTTTTAAAATTAGTACTCTTTGAGATCTTCTGTTATTTCATTCATATAGCCTTTAATATACATTCACTGAGGTCCTACTATACATGAGACAGTATTACTAGGTGATCTGAAGGATTCAGAGAAATAAATGACAGGCTCCTTTTCCTAGAGGAATTTATAATCTTATTTCCGGGAGGATAAAATCTGGCATGAAAATGTGAAACGACAAGTACGTCTGGTTAGAATATAGAAAGCTGCAAGCGACTTTTGTTCCCATACTGGTAGTTTATTAAAAAGCCTGTCAGAGAGCAAAGAAATATAAATGAACTCAATTCTAGAAAGTGACAAGCCCTTTCAAGAGACCTATAGTCTGTGTGCTGTCTAGAAGACACCCATAATTACATTCATCCATAGTAGAGCAGCAGAAGAAGTAATCCATCAGAGGTGAGGGTAAGAAGAAAACAGTATAAATTTTAGTGAACTTTTAATGGCCACCTTGGGGCTGGAATGACAAGTTAGAATCCAAAAGATCCTGTCTTTGATAAGTCCTAGCCACAGAGTCTGTACCCATCTACCAACTCTTTCGCACAGGCCATCACCAAGTGCATGGGGTTATTCAGCCACAGCCTAGGAATAGGGGAGGAGAGCTGAGAGAGCTCTCCAGTCCCTGAGGTATATGGGGCCTTCCCCAAATGCAAGGCAGTGGCCCATGGAAGGGTAGTGTTAGAGTAAAAGAACTGAGAGAAATTCCTCTGAGGTACTCTTGGCTTTTACCAAGAGCACTACAATGACCCTTTTAATTCTGGGGGCAGAGAGAAATCTCCCAAGGTACAGAGAGCCAGGGTGGACTGAGGAGCAAGGAGACTCTCAAAAATCTCACTGTTGGTCTATAAAGCAGAAAGAGATCTCCCACATTTCAGAAAACTGGAGGCTTGGCTGTAAAGCATAGGAGGTTCTCAGACACTTGCTGGCACTCAGATCCCAAACCCAGCTGGAGAGAAAGTCCTGATCTAACCTTCATAATATTCGAAATTAGTGCTGACTGGAACCTAGCAATATCTCTGGAGAAAGCCCAGACCCAATTCAAATACAGATTAATTCACTCGGTCTTCACTTTAGCAGTCTGACAGAAGAAGGGCTATGAACTTTTCTGATGGGTAAATATTATCTACTTCAGTCTCTACTGAACTTTCACAAATACAATTAAATAATTTAAAATATGATATTCAAGAGGAAACAAGAAAATGGTGGTGAGTGTATAGCCAAGAAAAGAAATAGTCAATAGAAGCAGGTCCAAAGATGGTCTAGATGTTGGAATTATCAGACAGACTCTTTAAAATAACTGTGATAAATATTTTAAAGGATCTATTGGAAAAGGGGAACAATAAGTTTGAGCAGATGGGAAGTACACACACACTATATCTTTATCTATCTATTTATCTGTCTGTCTATCTATCTATTTATCTATCTATCTTATGGGAATGAAAACCATGATATCAGGAATCAGAAATAAAAAATTCATTTTATGGGCTTGAAAAAGACTAGACACAGTAGAGGAAAAGATCAGAGATTTTGAAGACAGAGCAATAGAAAATATCCAAACTGAAACACAAAGAAGAAAACAGGGTGAAAAAATAGAACAGAGCATCCTAGATCTGTAGGACAATATCAAATGGACTGCTATATGTGGAACTGAAGTCCTAGAAGGAGAATAGAGTGAGAATGGGTCAGAAGAAATATTTGAAAAGACAATGGTTCAGAATTTTCAGCATTGATGAAGGATATCAACCCACATATCCAAAAGCTTAGCAAATTAAAACAGGATAAGTGCAAAGACAAGCACTTCTAGTCAAATATATCAAGCCCTACTCAGTGCAATAAAGCAAGAAAAAGAAATGTAAAACATAAAGATTAGAAAGGAAGAAGAAAAATGGTCATTATTCACGGACCAAATAATAGTGTAACTAGAAAACCATAACAAACCATAGTAACCTATCGGATCTAATAAGAGAGTTTACCAAGGTTACAAGATACAAGGACAATACATAAAAATTAGTTGAATTTTTACATACTAAGGACAAAAAATTGGAAAATGAAATAAAAACAAACTATTTAAATCTAATTTTAAATCTTGGAAAATAACAAAATTGGATGACTTATACTACCTAATTTTAAGACTTATTCTAAAGCTATGGTAATAAAGACAGGGTGGAACTGGCAGAAAGATAAACAAATAGATCATTGGAGCAATATAGAGTATCCAGAAATTTACTACATATTAAAGGCCAACTGATTTTTGACCAAGGCACCAAATCAATTTGGTGAAGGAAGGAACCTCTTTTTGAGACATGGTTCTGTTACAATTGAATATCCAAACGGAAAATAAAATGTACCTCAAGCCTACCTCACTCCATATACAAAAATTAATTTGCTATGTATCATAGACCTAAACATAAATGCTAGATCATAAAGCTTCTTGAAAGGAAATATAGGAGAATAGCTTTGTGACTTTGGAGTAAGCAATGATTTCTTAGGTAGGACACAAAAAGCACTAACCATGAAAGAAAAAAATTGATAAACTTCATTATTATGAGCCAAATTATGTCTCCCCTGAAATTCATATGTTGATGCTTTAACTCCTAGTACCTCAGAACGTGACTATATTTGGAGATAGGACCTTTAACAGGGTGATTAAGTTAAAATGAGGCTGTTAGAGTAGGTTCTAATCCAATGTGACTGGTGTCCTTATAAGAAAAGGAAATTTGGATACATGAAGAGATACCAGGGATGCACGCACACAGGGAAAAGGCCATGTGAGGACATAGCGAGAAGGCCGCCATCTGCAAGCTGAGGAGAGAGGCCTCAGGAGAAACCAACCCCGCTGACACCTTGATCCTGGACTTCCAGCCTCCAGAACTGTGAGAAAGTAAATTTCTGTTGTTTAAGCTACTCAGTTTTCGGTGTTTTGTTATGGCAGCACTAGCAAACTAATACATTCATCAAAATTTAAAATTTCTACTATTAAAGAAAATGAATATACAAACTCACAGAAGGGGAAAAATATTTGTAGTACATATATATTACATATCCAAATATATATAGAACTCCTATATATTAACAATAAAAGATAACCCAATTTTTAAAATGAACAAAAATCTTGAACAGACTTTTCACAAAAGAAGGTATATGAATGGACAATACGTGCGTGAAAATGTGCTTAAATCATTAGCCATCAGGGAAATGCAACTTAAAGCCACAATGAGATATCACTTCTCACGCACCAGAAGACAAAATGGTGGTGAGAATGTGGAACAACTGGAAGTGTCACATTGCTGATAGGAATGTAAAATGGTTCAAAGACTGGAGAAGTGTTGGGCAAGGTTTTTTGTAACATTAAATATACATCTACCTTGTGACCCGGAAATTCCACTTCTAGGTATTTACCTAAGAAAAATGAAAATGTATGTCTACAAGAAGATCTGTACAAGAATGTTCATAACAGCTCCAAACTGAAAATAACCTAAATGTTCATGAAGAGAAGACCAGATAAATAAATTGTGATATATTCTTATAATAGAATAGTATTCAGCAATAAAAGAATGAACAACTGATACGTACAACAATATGGATGAATCTCAAAAACATTATTTTGGATAAATGAAACCTGATACAAAACAGCATATGCTATATGATTCCATTTATGTGAAGTTCTAGAACAGGCAAATTAACCTTTGGTCAAAGAAATAAGAAAGTGGTTACCTCTGCAGAGAGGGATGGAACTGAACTGGAAAGGGGCACGAGATAATTTTGCAAGGTAATGGAGCTAGTCTATATTATATTTGAATGGTGGCTACACGGATAAATGCCCTTGTGGAAACTCATGGAGCTGAACACTTAAGATCTGTCTTTTTTATTTTATGTAAATTATACTTCAATTTAAAAATAAAAGCAAGAGCATTCGATGGTCCCTTTTCCGTGAGGTTTTCTCTGTACAGATCAGAGTGGGGATCCACAGAGGACCAGTCTTAGCAGGTGTCGTGGGAGACAAGATGCCATGGTACTGCTTGTTTGGTGATGCTGTGAACACAGCTTCTAGGATGGAAAGTCATGGGCTTCCCGACTAAGTGCACCTCAGCCCCACGGCCTACAGGTAGCCATTTCTTTATTCATGCCTTCCTTAGTCCTTTCTCCTTCCAGAACTTACAGAGGGCCTAGCAGCCATGGGATGGGGGTAGTGTAGGAAATCTGTGTTTTTTTCTTCTACGCCACACTAGCTGCCAGAAGACATTGTGTCAGACAATAAATATTGTCGAGCCTCTACTATAAGATAGTTTTTGCTCTTAAGGAGCATATGATCTAGTGCAGGGATCGGCAAATTATAGCCCACAGGCCAAATCCAGTCTGCTGTTTGATTTTGTAAATAAAGTTTTACTAGAACACAGCCATGCTCTTTATTTATATATCATCTATGGCTGCTTTCATGTTACAATGGCAGAGTTGAGTGGTTGTGACAGAGACTGTATGGGCCCCAAAGCTAAAAATATTTACTATCTGGTCTTTTACAAAAAAGTTTGCTGACCCTTGGTCTAGTGGAAGAAGAAAGAAATATTCACAGATCATTATTTTTAAAGTGTGATAAGTACAACGATAAAGATATGCGTAAAACAATACTTATGGGGGCCAGCCCGGTGGCGTAGTGGTTAAGTGTGCGTGCTCTGCTGCTGGCGGCCCGGGGTTCGGATCCCGGGCGTGCACTGACACACCACTTGTCAGGCCATGCCATGGCGGTGTCCCACATAAAGTGGAGGAAGATGGGCACGGATATTAGCCCAGGGCCAGTCTTCCTCAGCAAAAAGAGGGGGATTGGCATAGATGTTAGCTCAGGGCTGATCTTCCTCACAAAAAAAACCAAAAAACAAAACAACAATACTTACGATTTCTTGAGCACTTACAATAGGCCACATTCTGTTCTAAGCTCTTTTACATATGTTAATTCATTTACTGTTGCAACAACTCAGTGAAGATAGACTATTTTTATTCTTATCTACAGGTGAGAAAAAATCAGGTTAATAACTTGCCTCAGGTCACAAGCAGGCTAGGAAAGAAAGAGCCTGGATACAACCTGGAGGACAGGCTCAGAATCTGTACTGAGTTAACCACTGCACTCTCGTGGCTGAGGGAACTATAGTGTGTGTTATGGGAGCCCGGGCAAGGGTGCCTAACTCAGTAAAGAAATTCTTTGTGGAGGAGGAGATTCCTGAGCTAAATGTTGAACAAGGAGTTCCAGAGTAGGATTTAGCCAAAACCGGGGTATTGGGAGTGAAAAACAAGCAGTACAGCACAGATGTAGAATAAGTGCAGAGAACTACAAACAATTTAGCTTTGCTGGAGCAGAAGATAGGAAGCAGAAAGGGGTGAGAGCTGTGTGTGCCCTATCGAAGGGCCAGGACTTACACTGTAGGTGAGGAAGAGAGCCTAAGGAGTGTGAGATCAGAGACAATGCCAAGGTTAGGGTCCTATCTGACACTGATCACTCTAGAGATATTGTAAGGATAGATTTGAGAATCAGGAAATGGGAAAGAGAAGAACTGTTAGGAGTTTGGTTTGAACCAGAACACTTGTCAGTGGAAATTTGGGGGAAAGTAAAATCAGCTAAACTTGGTAATTACTAGAAATGGGGGATGATAAAGAGGGAGGAGCTTTGAATGTCTCCCAGGTCTCCATCCTGGATGACTAGGACCTGAATGGTGATATTGCCAACTGAGATAAGACAAGAGAGATTCCATTCATACGGGCAGATGATGAGTTCTGGACATGTTGAATTCAAAGGAATTGTGGAGCCTCTAAGTTGTGTTGCCATTAAATGGATGGATGAAATTTGGAGTCAAGTTGTTGGTTGGGGATCTAGACTTGGAGTCAGCAACATATAGGTGGTAATTAAGCCATCAGAGTTGATGAGATCACATGGAGAATGATGCAGTGTGAGAAGAACAGTGGAAAGACAACAGAATCCTGCACAGAACTAACATTTAGGTTGCGGTGGGAGGAAGAGGAGCCCATGTAAGAGGAGGAAGAAACAGAAAAAAACCAGAAGAGTTTGGGGTGAGAAGCCCCCTTGTGAATATTTTTATGGAGGAAGAATTGAACAAAAATGTCAAATATAGTAACAAGGACTGAAAAATATTCACCAGAGGTTTTTGGAACGTTATCAGAGCGCTTCTGGTAGAACGGTGGGCATAGACACTGGATTGTGGGTTGAAGGATAAAAGGAAGAGAGTGTTTGTATGGGATTAAAGCAGGAGATAATCAAGTGAGAAGTTGTTTGCTTCTACTTCGGTTGGAAGAGACCTCAGCATGCTAGTAGGCTGAGGGGAGGATGCAAATGGAGAGGAAGCTGAAGATAAGCGGAGGGGGTGGCTGGTGGACCCAGGCCCCGAGGAGGGGGCAAGCGGGCATGAATGGGATGTCCTTGAACAAGACACCTCATCCTCTGAGATTAGGGGAAAGGGTGAGTGTGGTCAATGGGGTGAGAAGTTGCAGGGTCTCACCTATAATGGTTATAATTTTGTAGATAAAGCCACGAAGAAGGAGGCACGGTCAGCAGCTTGAGAGTAGGGGGAGCAGGTGCCAAATGGGGGAACATGAGGAGTGTGGCAAAGGTCTGGAATCTCCATGGAACCAGCCAAGGACAAGGGAAGGCTGATGAAGTGCCAAGACCCAGTTGAGGCAGCTGACCATGAATTTGAAACACTGCTAGTCTGCATGGTTCTGTGGTTTTTCTCCAACATCTCTCAGCTGCCAGTAAATAAATAAACAGGTAAACATTGTATAATTACCCATAGCTCTGTCTCTTTTCATGGTCCCGTCCCTATACTCTTCTTCTTCAGTTCCTTGGCAGCCAGAAATCTTGGAGATTCTTAGGTAGTTAGGATGAGCATGATGACAACTGTAGGGTATATCAGGAGCTTGGGGGAGATGGAAAGAAGAGGGCTGATATGCAAGGAGCCTGCTGTTTCAGAATCATGCAGGGATGGTGCACGCAGAGGCATTGGGGACGTGGTTGTAGAAGTGTGAGGGCTATGGGGATGAGCGCTGTGTTGGAGGAGAAAACGTGGTGACAGGGCACAGGGTTTTGGTGGGTCCCCTGTGCTCTCCCTCTGCCTTTGGCACCCTGTTCAGAATGTCTGAGCTTCATGCCTCTTTGCCCCCCCTCAGCAGGCCCGGGCTGATGTCTTGGAGCCCCTGTCCTCCTGGGTGTCCTGGGTCCCAGACTTCTCCTCTCCCATCATGCTTAACGTTGTGGCCAACTCTCGAGTTACAAACCTTTGGTCTTGGATATCTGGTGCATTTTTTTCTCTGTGCAGAGCCCTGGAAAATCAAGGGTTTGAAATAATTGAAAGGGGTGAAATTGAAGTGAAAGATAAAGTGAAGATGACCACATACTTTCTGATCCAGAACTTGAATGCTTCAGAGGATGAGATCGTGGGGAGACCTCAAACTCTGCTGGATCACAAGGCTGGGTGAAAAAGAGAAGCCTCGTCATTAGTGTTGAATATTTTTTCCACTAACAACTTTGGATGTGTTTAGAGTGGTCCTTGGGTTTGCAGGGTCAACACGGGTGTCATCCCCACCCACCACCAAGCTGCTACCTTCCATTCGGTGAGAGCTTCCGGGGATCAGCTCAACCATTTTGCCCTAAATGCTCTTTTCTTGCCTCCTGGATATTATGACATCCTTGAGCTGGGCTGATGGATCCAGCCTAAAGGGTCCCTCATGCATTCATTTTCAAGATTCTTCCCTGTCCAAGAAAGGGGCTTTTTCCATCAGCTGAGGGGGATGATTTCAGAGTCTCCCCCTGCTCCTCAGCCTCCAAGGAGGCTCCAGAACAGGCTTTCCTCACACACTGGAACCTTCCACCTTCCTCATTTTTTGCCGGCTTCCAAAACTGGGAATCAGTACAAAATCCATGACTCACTCAACTCCAGGAATGACATGAGTGAGTTTAGGGTAAAACAATCTAGTGCTAAGCTGAACCAGGGATCACCATTTGGCGCACAGGGCTCAAAAAAAGCAGCAGCTGGAATCCAACAACAGGGTCTCCGTCAGCGGCAAGGCGGATCCATCCACCCCATGCGGTCAGGGCCCCTTAACAACCACCCTGGTTAATGCTGGGAAATGCTGACCTGAGGGGGAAACCTAGTAGCAGGAGGCAAACCTTTCTGAACCCTTGAAGCAAACTGGAGAAGGAAATGGATTCGTTCTGACAGGAGCTAATCTTTAGCTGCTCCAGAGGCCTGAAAAGGAAAATCTCTAAATCCAGAGGTTCCATGTTTACATAGCTAATACATGCAGGATGTCTCTTTGGGACATGTGAATTATGGTTACTATATTTTAAAGTGGGGTTATCCCAATGAAGAGATGGGTATTTGAAGAACTTTGAAGATTGTTTTCATAGTGCTTTCGTTCTAATATCAGCTCACCTTAGTATCCCGAGACCTGCAATTGTTTTGGGCCACATTTTACTGATGGAGACACTGAGACGGGAAGATCTAAGTGAAAAACTAGAAATAGCTTTGGCTAATAAAGACCACGAGCCACCCTCATTAGAGATTTTGCCCCTGAATTTCTAGGATCTAGGTGCCTCACCCACCATCACTCGCTTCCTCCCACCATGTCCTCCCCACGGTACGGAGAGTTGCTAGAGAGGGGTAAACAAACAGTTTTTCCTTTTCTTTGTTAGAAATAGACAAAGTAAAGAGGGAGGAGGGTGTTTTGTCACTTGATTGTGGGAGAGAGGAAGGCAGAGAGGGAGGCTTTAGCACCAGAACGGGACAGAATCTTGCTCAGAAGGTGTGCCTAGCCCAAACCCAATGCTACTTTCTCCCATTCCCCCTGCAAGGGGTTCCCAAACATTCCAGTTTGAGAAACAGGATTCTGGAACATGGTCTGAGTCAGTAACATCTAATCCACTTTCAGTTCTGAGCTGGAAACAAAACAAAACATAAACAACTGAGAATAGAAAATGAGTAAGTGTCTCAACTGAAGATCTCAATATGGATGCTGAGAAAGAGGAGGGAGAAAGGATGTGGAAAGAGGGGGAGGAGATAGCCCCTCCTAGACCCTAAACAGTGTCCCTGTGCAAACTTGGAAAAGGCACCCCTTTGGTAGGCAGCACCCAGGCGTGGCTTATCTTAGAGGAAAGCCACCTCTTCCTCTGGGCTGATGTCAGCCTCCAGCCCCACCCCCTTGGCCAGGTATCTCTGTGCAGAGAAATGGCACAACCCTGGTGTGTGGATCCTAGAAGGGGGGTCTCGGCCTCTTTCCTTTTCATCCTTCTTTACATTTCCCTCACCTCTTTCTCCATCAGCCTAGGATTTCCTGTGGGGAGCCTCACCTGTCAGGCTCTAGGGAAGGAGGTGTCTGTCTCTCTGTGCCTGGCCCTCCCATCCCCACAGAGCGCAGCACTGGCAGCTCCAGCAGGAACAGGAAGGCCAGGATCCCTCATAGGAGACCCCATGCTGACACTGCTCCTTAAGTGTCGAAGTGGCTTGAGAATCTGACCCCGTTAACATCCAGGGGCCAAGAGACTTTCTCCCATACAGCAAGATGGAGTCTTTCAACGCCAGGGATGGAGGAGAGAGATACAGAAACACTAATATGCACACTAATGCTCTTCCTAAATTGGCCTCTTCCCTCAGAATGTCTCTCATGGGGCACACACACTGGCTCTTTGGATGATTTGGGGGAGGCGCGGGAGGGAGACTGAGAAGATGAACTTGAGGCAATTCGAACGTGCAGCCAGCGCCAAGAACTATGTCTTAAGACTGCAGCAATGCAGGGGGAGGGGACCTCAGCTGTGTCCTTTCTGTGCCCTTGCAGGTGAGAGCCCCAAGGGGCCGCTGATGTTCAGATACATCAAAGGCCCCCACTTCTGCCGCTCATGAAGCCTGCTTGCATGAATGTTCTTACTTTTCCTTCCCCTCATGCTTTTTTGCAGAAGCAAGTGCTCAAGAAAGTCAAGACAGCACACCTGTTGCAGTCATGAGGTACGCGGACAGCCGACAGCTGCTCCCCAAGAGTGACGCAGCAGATGGCGAGTACACCATACCGGTTACAAAGACTCCCAGTGCTGCATTGCATGTGAAGAGAATCAGTGGGTTCAGAGGTATGGCTCACGGGGGATGGGAAAGAGCCAGAAAGGGATAGCGCAGGTGGAGTTTGGGGCCCTAGGGCAGGATGCTTCTGCTCGTTGCTCACTGTATTTTGAATAAACTCTCTTTTAATGCTCCCCAATCCACCCACCTCCCCACCCCAAGTGTCCGAGGGGGCCCTTCATTCTGAAAGAGACCTGTATGCACCACCCCCAAAAGAATCTCTAATACTCAGAACTTATTAATACCCATAGAATGAAGTTTCTCCGGACCATGGTGCCCTTGGTAGCATGCCACCTGTTAATGAGGAGGGCTGGGTACCTCCTCACTGTTCCCATCAGATGGTGCCTCATAGGGACCACAGAGCATTGACACTGCCACAAAGCATAGGCCCAGTGGCCCTCTTCTCTGCTTTGTCCCTGAAGGTGGTGGGGATGAGAGGTTTCTCTCAATTCATGCTTAATCTTGACTGCCCTAGTGAGCCATTCAGCTCCCTCCAGAGCCATTCTCAGGACTGACACAGCTGGGTTTTGAGTATGGGGTCACAGAGGAGTGGTGAAGGACCAGGGATGGGCCTGCAGGATGAATCACTGGAGCAGCAACCCTCCTCCCCCTCTCCTTTCTGGCTTTGTGCAGCCACTGCCACTCTCTGCCTTTCTGGAAACCCCATGTTAGGTGATCCAGATGGAGTTAAGCTTTTGAGACAAGGAGTAGTGTATGTCTGCTACAGAGGACCATCTCCCAAGGATTTTCTAAAAACCATCCCTGGTCACTGAGACAATTTCTTAAGACAAATGAAACAATCCATTTGAAGAGTTAGAACAGTTTAATAATCCAAATAAAGAGCTTAGCCATTGTTATTTTTATTGGACTATATCTCTTAGTTGAGTGTCACTTGAGCCCTTGGCATTGGGCACTGGCCCAATGCCTGAAGACTTTTCAGATTCCCCAGAATCTGAGGTTGAGGGAATGATCAGCACCTTTCTGTTCAGTTCTGGTGAGAGGAGACAGAGCAAAACTTCCCTTGCTCTGATCCGGCATCAGGTGGAATATTGGATTCTGGAACACGAGAAGCTCTCAGCAAACTTTCTGCCATTACCCAGAGGCATTTCCCTCCCCTCCCCATTACCTACCGTCCTACATCTGCGTGTTTCTGATGACGTTCAAGCCCTGAATAGTCATCTAATATTATTGTGGTGTGAAATTGTAATGTTCATAGATTCATTCAACAACATTTCTTGGAAAACTGTTGCTGCTCCTAGAATACAGAGTGTCAAGGCCACGCACTATGTTAGGATCTGTTGATGCTCGATGCTCGTTGAACTAAAACCATGTGGTCCCTGCTTTCATACAGCTTGCAGTTTAGTAGCGGAAGACAGACAACATGTAACAAAATAAATAAGATCATTTCAGGTAGTAATACACGTTAAGAAGAAAATAAGACTGAATAATGGAGAAGAGGGCCAGCGAAGGCTTCTTTGAGGAGGGAGCATTTAAGCTGCACTGTATACGAAGGGAAAGAGCCAGCCACATGGCTATCTGGGCAGGGGCTTCCAGGCAGCTTCATGCCCTAAAGCAGATGTAAGCTCGGCAAGTTCAAAGAAGAATAAGAAGGCCAGTGAGTCTAGAGAGGGGTGGAAGAGGAAGGGAGCAGTAAGGGATGAGGTCAGAGAGGTGGGCAGGAGCTTTGGACAGTCTGGCCTTGAATTTCCCTATCCACACACAAAAAGTATGAGCATGAAGTATGGGGCAAGATGAGGAGCTGCTGGAGTCCACAGGAACATTCATAGGGAGAAGGTCTCTGCCATTAGAATTCCTAAATGGCTGCTCTATACACAGCTCAGAAGGGGAGGCCTAAGAACTATTGCTCCAGGGAGGTGAACAAATTCATTTTTCAAACTTCTGCTGCATGGGGGGGTCCCTCCACAGGAGAAACCAACAGGGCTGGGCAGGGCTGGGCAGGGCTGGGCATCTTGCTTAGAGGTGGGAGACAAGTTTCGCAACGGGGCCCCTAATTCAGTACCCATCTAACTGTTACTTTCCTCAACAAAAACCAACACCAACCACTAGAGAAGGAGAAACTGAGGCCGGTTTGGGTGGGAAAGCTGGAAAGGTGGAGAACTGGTATTTGTTGGACAGCTACTTTGTGGTGGGCATTTGACCCACATTATCTCACTTGATACAACAGTCACATGACTGTCTCCATAACAGAGGTAGGAAACTTAAAGTTCAGAAAGGTTATATAATTTATTTAAGGTCCCACAACTGGGAAGTAGAAGAAGTAGGACTTGATCTTCAGGCTTGTTTGTCTTGGGCACACCATGTCCATGTGGAGCCATCTTTGAGTAACAGACCAAAACAATTTTCTAGTTTCCCCAAGTGGTAGCCTGCTGCACTTGGGCTTCTTGGCTTCACGATGGCCCAGCCATGTTTCTCTCAGATTCTCTGGGCTCCATCTGAACAGATATCTGATTGTTGGATGTGATTAGTAGGTGTATTAATGAGGAATAGCTGACACACTGTAGGTGAATGATACACTATGTAATGTGAGCCAGGAGCTTGGAGAAATGAGGACCAAG